CTTCTGGCGACCAACCAAAAGTCTGAGTGTACACTCCTGTTTATATATATATATATATATATATATATATATATATATATATATATATATATATATATATATATATATATCAGGGTTGCCACCATTATTTAGGAACAAAATTCCCTGATTTTCCCTGATTTTTTTGCTAAAATTTTGCTTTTTCCTTCCTGATTTTCCCTGATTTTCCCTGATTTTTTGCTAAAATTTTGCTTTTTTCCCCCTGATATTTCCAGCATTCAAATGCCCAAACTTAACATTCAAACTTCTCCAATAACCCCTGAGCATTTTTAACTCTAAAAAACAGATGTAGAACTAGATGTAGTACAGATTTCATCTGTTGAATAAGAAGATCAGCTTTTTGTTTAGAAAGATTTGACATAGGACTGATGCAACCAGTTGCTTTCAGAAAAGAAATTTGATTCATAATCTTTTATGAAACTGTTGATGACATCCTGAGATAATGCATCCTTTTTCCTCAATTTAATTATGTCATGTTCTGCAGCAAATCCAATTGTCGTTAATTTTAATAGCAGAAAGTTTTCATTTTTTGTAAAATCATATTTTTGAAGTTAACAATGCTGCTAAGGACATCTTGTTTTATATTTAAACCCATTAAACTTTTAACAGTTGAGAACAAATCTTCAAAAAGAAAAAAAATCATTGGGGCATTGGTTTGATATCTCAGTAAAATTTTCTGCAACAAACTTGTAATGTAACCAAAAAACTTCAATTTAGTCAAAGTTAACTCATCTTTTGTTCCCCCGAACTAGAGTTGCTAGTCCTTGGCCTTGCCTTAAAGCCAAAAATTGAGGCCTTGGCCTTGGTCTTGGCTTTGAAAATGTTGGCCTTGGTCTTGACCTTGAAAATTTTGGCCTTGGCCTTTAAAAAAACCAATTTTCTTATTGATTACGTTTAATTCCCCCAACTTGTTTCTTCGCGCAGCGGCCTTGTTCATCAAAGTTCGTGTTTCGGAGTTATAGAGTTGAGAGATGGTTATAACCACTATTAAGTAGCCTCCTCGTCTTTTGGCCTTGTTAACAACTCTGTCCCAAACACTTGTCATAGCTCTTTCATTTTTGTTGCTTACTTTTAAGAAGAGTCTCCCAATACTTGGTTAGTTTTTTTAACATTCTCTCAAATTAAACAAAGTCTATCTGCAACTTTTTGGTCTACAACCCAATGTTTTGAGCAAAATGCATAAGGAAAATTCTCACATTCAGTAACAGTTACAAAATCAGCTCTTCTAGCCGAAGAATCATAAAAAAGGTTGTATGATACTTTCATTAACTTCTTTATATTCCATTCAGCAGATTAAAAACCTGATTTGAAACCATGTATTAAATGAAGGTTACAACTTCCAACGTTAAAAAGTTTAGGTAGCTCTTGTTGATCATGCTGCAATTCAAGAAGATTAAGAAGGGAACAGTTCACATTTGTACCTTCCATACTTAGTTGAGTCATACTTTTAAGTAAATTCTTTGCTGTGGGCCATAAAAATTTTAAAGACAAAGTATCTGGATTCAACACGACTTAGATTGATGTTCCAAAACTGAATATTTAGATCCTATTGGCCCTTTTTAAGAGAATCGTTCAGGCTTTCATTAAGTGAAAGAGTATAATAAGGAGATTTTTTCATATTTTCAGTTAAAAGTCTGTAAAAATAAGGCCCAATACCAAAATTAATTATATAACCAAGTTTTGTTTCACTCATTTCATAAGATTTAGCAATATTGCTATCAGGGAACATTTTCTGGTAAAGTAGGCAATTTTCATTACATGATTAATGAGAAATTATTCTGTATTGCATTTAAAACAGAGTAAATTTATGTCCACTTTTTATCACATTAATCTACTGTTTGAAGTGCTTGCTTTATAGATGTAGACTGCGCAGGCAAGATAATGGCATTGACTTTTGTGCATGTTTTTTGCCACCCATGTGACTTATCATAACTCTTCTGCATATTTGACAAATTAAATTCAACTTTTCACATTTTGCACTTGGCAGACTTTTTTACACTGCCTACTCGGTGTAGTTAAGGCACTTTTAAAATATTATAGCGCCTGTATGATATTTTGTTGACTGCAACATATTTCCAATAAATGGTCTGGTCTGTGAATTATGAAAAGGCGAAAAATATCAAAATGATAAATTTTGCGGTATCATAAAAAATAAATGTTTGTAGCAAAAAAACCCAGACTGAAGATTTTTTTTTTTTTTTTTTAAATTATCTTAAAATCGCAATCGCTTGTCCAAATTTGAAAAATATTTTATATTAACACGTTTTTTAGGTGAAATGAACATTACAGTTAAACAATATGATCTGTTCTGATCGTTTATTGGCAATTCTCCATAATTATAAGCTCTTTCTTGTTCGAAATTCTAGTATTTTTTGTGGAAATTGATAGAAATATTGTGATTTGACAACTATGTATAGTTAATATACGTCAGAACAGATTAGAACTTGGATCAGTAGTAAATTAAGGAACCTTTTCAAAAGATTTTAATTAAATTAAAGTTAATGCTGATGAGCGGAATTGATCTAAAGACTCCAAAATGGTGTTCTTTAGATTCACTATTACGGGTTCTATAAAGGTTTTGAAAATTATATAAAAAAAAGAAAAGTTTCTTTCGATATTATAAAAACCTTAAGTAAAAAAAATTGTAATATTTAAAGATCTTGTTTGGATATAATATGCTGACAAAACCATGCTTATTTCAAATAAAAGTATTCGAATATTTTGTAAATCGCCTTAACTACACCGAGTATTACCAGCCATTTTTCAAACAAAGGATCACTTTACCATTTTTATTTGATTTGAGTTGCAAACATTGAATTAATGTAAACACAATATGATTAATATTCTTGTTAAATGTTAAACATTAACCCTGGTACCCTTTAATTGTTAAAATGTTAAACATTAACCCTGGTGCCCTTGAAAAGGAAGAAAAAATATCAAAACATTAAAGAAAAATTAAAAAGTTCCCTGATTTTCCCTGATTTTTTCCTAAATCAATCATTTTCCCCTGATTTTCCCTGATTGTATCTAAATTTCCCTGATTTTCCCTGAATTCCCTGATTTCCCTGATTTGGTGGCAACCCTGATATATATATATATATATATATATATATATATATATATATATATATATATATATATATATATATAGAAAGGAGAGAGAGAGAGTGAGAGAGAGAGAGAGAGATGTAAGCCGTTTTTTTTGGTCTTGTTTTTTGGCCAAAAAAACCGAGGACTATTGGTTTTTTTGCGTTTTTGCCTTAAAAACTACTCTTTTTGCATTTTAAACACTGAAATGGTTTTAAAATTTATTTTTAGTGATATTTATTAAATACTTGTTTTAATACTTCCATTTACCATATTTTTAGTATTGTCTTAGTTTAGCAATTGTTCAATTATTCAAAAAAAAAAAAAAATAGAAAAAGCAGCATTAATTAGAAAAACAATTTTTTTTTTTTTAATAATTTTTAATAATAATTCTTATAAGTAAAGACAAAGAAGTAAATTTTTATAAGTAAAGGCCATGAATTGCATCTTTTTTAATATTGAACTGTTTTAAGAATTTATTATGAATGAAGTAACACTGCATCGCAAAATATGTCAGATCTGGGAATTTTTGGTGTGGGTGTGAGGGGGAATCAGGGCTTGTTAAAAATTTAGTTTATTTTGTATCACATTTTTGCCTACTAAAAAAAAATTTAAAAATTTAAAGATATTTTATAAATTTATGGATTCTGGTGCAGGGTGGTAGGTTCATACCTCTCATTTCCCCTGGATCTGTCACTGGTTTTAAAATTACAAAATTATATTTCAACTTTTTTAACTTCTTCAACTTATGTGAAGAAGTTAAAAAAGTTATTTGGGTGAAAAAAACGCGACAGCAAAAAAATGCGTATATATATATATATAATATATATATATATATATATATATATATATATATATATATATATATAATATATATATATATATATATATATATATATATATATATATATATATATATATATATATATATATACTCTTGCATGTCTCTTGCATGGCATCAAAAAAAGTTTCCCATAAACTGTAGTTTTAAAGAGCGCGTTAATAAACCAGACCAGAAAAAGTTTTAAAAATTAAATTTTTTTTTTTTAATTGATAGACTGCCTGGCCAAACCAAACCCTCAGTCGATGTAACAGCACTCTCTTGCGAGTCAGGCTATTTGTCAGTCGTTGTAGCAGCACTCCCTTGCGAGTCAGGCTATTTGTCAGTCGATGTAACAGCATTCCCTTGTGAGTCAGGCTATTTGTCAGTCGATGTAGCAGCACTCCGTTGCGAGTCAGGCTATTTGTCAGTCGATGTAGCAGCACTCCGTTGCGAGTCAGGCTATTTGTCAGTCGATGTAGCAGCACTCTGTTGCGAGTCAGGCTATAAGATAGTCGATGTAGCAACATTTACGCATGTTTTAAAAATGTTTTTTATTAAATCAATAACAAAAACACCACTAATTAAAAAAAACTTTCTAGTCGTTATAATTGCGATTTTTTAAAAAATTTTTAAAAAACAATTAAATTTAATGTACTTCCGCATAAATTAATTGCTTTGACATTTCGATGACAATCAAAAACAACTTAAGAGACGAGGTAATTAAAATTGTAGTCGTAAAAGACTTTTTTTTACATTAAAACGCTCTTTCGACTACACTATATGGGTATATATATATATATATATATTATTTATGAGGATATGTATATATCCTCATAAATATAAAAATATTAAACATAAATATAAATAATAATAAAAACATTATTTAAATAAGAATAATTAGTTTTTGAATTACTTAAAAAACTAATTTTTTGCCTTTTTCTTTCAACATAAATTTTCTTTTTATCAAATTTTAATTAAACATTAATTATTTGAGTAATTACTTTAAACAGTAGATGAATTTCTTATTAAATAAATATAAAAATCAACTAACCTTAGTTTTCACATCTTCAAATGTGCTAGGAAGCATCCCAGGGAAAAATTTGATAGCAAATGGTAATAAAAACTCCATGAAAGGAACTATTACAAACACCATAAAAGGAACTAGACGAAACATATCAGCAACAGTTCTTAAAAACTAAATAAAAATAAAAGTTATTTTTAGTGACACTTTTAAAAATAAATTTTTACAACAATATTACTTATTAGAACTATATAAAATTTTTTTGTAAAACAACTGTTATACTTATATAACTGTAACTGTATTAAACTATGCTTTTTAAATACATAGGACTGGTAAAATTGATGAATTTTTTGTTTGAAAACCCTAAAAATAACTAATATACTCAATTTTGATATACGCAAGGGCCAGGATTGATAAAACAGAGCTAGGGTAATGGTTTAGACTAGATCAGGAGCTAATTTAGTGCTGACAAAGCATAACTTTTCAGATGATAACTTTTGTTGACTTTTATTACAAAATTTTATACTTCTTATTGTAGCTCAAGTAAACTTTTAGTAGCAATGATGATTAGTGCAACATATTGATATTACATTATGGTTGCTAAAAAATTTAGGTAAACCAACATATAAAAGTTAGATAAGTAAAACAACAAAGTTTTAAACCAACATATAAAAGTTAGATAAGCTTTATTATATAATTAAAAGTTCAAAATAAGCATTTTCATTTATTATATTTTTTATATTACTATTTTAATCATAATATTTATTATACTATTTTTTTAAATACATGTTAAAAATGTTTTTCTTTTGTATATAACATTTCAGATGTTTAAAGAGAATTCTTGGCAATTTTTATTTTAAAGCATCAAAAATATTTATTTGAAAGCTTTTTCTTGTTTCTTATCAAGATAGATAAAGTGTTTTTCAATATCGCATACTATAAAGCAACTTTTTATACTTCTTTAAGTGTATATAGAGAGCAAAAAAAATTGTTTGATCTAAAGAAGTTTTAAAAATTAACTAAGTTATACTAAACTGATAATCAAAAAAAAACAATTTGGAATCTATAAATATTAGTATATATAAGCTGTCGATATATATATATTTAATTATATATATATAAGCTGTCTTTATATATATATTTAATTATATATATATAAGATGTCTTTATATATATATATTTATAAATTGTCTTTGTAAGACATGAATAAAGATTTAAATAATGTTGCTACAGAAGTAGTTTTTTTTTATTATGTAAAGAAGTTCTAATTTAATTTTAATGTTTCTACATTTTAAAATATAAATTTAGCAGCGTGTGAATATAAAACTAAAATAAAGTGTAAATTAGTAAACATTTAAAAACATTTAAAAATAATGTATCACCATATTATTTGAAATCACTATATTATTGTTTGATCATTGAATACATGTTGAGAAACATTTTTTACTCCTTAATGACTACAACATATCTTAGTTTAAAATAAAGATATGTTCTCAATAAATGAAAATAACTTGTATCAGTAATATGCTTATATTTGTTTATTTCTTGAAAAAAGTTGGCAAATTTTTCTGCTGCATAAACCCATATGATGATGGAAAAAAAGAAAAACATAAAAACAACATATTAAATATGAAACTTCATATTTCGTCATAAAATGCATTAACAGAAAGTCATAACAAGTCATAAAATGCTTTAACAGAAAATTATCAAGAACAAAAAAAAAGGACCAAATAGATGCAAAAAGATTAAATAGCATCAGGGAAAAAAGAAAAAGCATTTGAAATAAGTTTTTTAAACAAAATTATTAAAGTATAAAGATTATAAAAGTAAATATTTATTATTATGTAAATAAAAAAGTAGAAATTCATCAAAATAAAAAAATTAAAGATTTATTACAATAAATAATATATATATATATATATATATATATATATATATATATATATATATATATATATATATATATATATATATATATATGTATATATATATATATATATATATGTATGAATATGAATATATATATATATATATGACTGCCATAACCAAGCAAACTGGTTTACTAGAACCTACTTCTAGTGCAGCCTAAATTTCATTATTATTATTATTATTTTATATAAATTTATTAAAGTAACTTAAAAACTTGAAAATTTACAAATAAAACTAGGAATAAAAAGGAAAACAACAAAAAAACAATAGTCATAATTAGCCAGAGATTTGTATTCCAATGTATTTTAATAGGTCAGCTAAATAAATCAGCTCAGAATATTTATTATTGATTTTACCAAATCAAAATGTATCAAACATAATATTATTTGAGTAATAAATGACTAAAAACTAAAAAATAGCTATATGCAAATGAAAATACTTTTATTAAAAACATTGTTTCTATTTTTAAATATTATTTTATTATTTATTAAACCAATTATCAATAATAGGGTTGTGATTTTTTTTTTTTTTTTTCTTTCTGTAAGAGAGCGCAACACTAAACTAAAACTTTTCAATGTGTTTTTCTATGGAAAAAGGAGGA